GGTCTTAATGCAAAAAAATGCAATGAAGATACTGGCTTCGCCAATGTAATATGGGACTCGTCATCAGTTGTCCATTGTATCGCATTGGAAGGTGACGAACACTGGAAAAGTCCCATGATTCAATGAACTGCGTCAAAAAACTGGTGAAGTCTAAATGTACATAATATAACACACTATAATTACACGTCAACATGATGTCGACGTGTAATGTAGTTTTATTGTTCCAGCCGTCCAAACGATGTTCAAACGTCATGAGCTGTCAAATCTAACTGATCCAACTTGGGTCTACAGTTGACGTGACAAGGAAATGGGTTTCCCTTTTCGTCAACGGAAACCGGAATCGAAGCCGGGTACCCGATGCAAGGGCTGATGCCGGCGCTTGGCAGACCACACGCGAGGTTTTGTTCCAACACAGGTGGTCCTGCCTTGTCCGATATACGCAATAGGAACTTCAGTATTTTGAAATAAAGCAAAAACTTTAAATGATATTTTTTTTATATGAAAAGTTGCCAAGCGAGCAGGCAGTTCACTTGATGTTAAGTGAATACCGCCGCCCATGGACTTCTGCTACACCCGAGAGCTGCAGATGTGTTGACAGCCTTTTGAAAATTGGGCTCCGGCCACCTCACTCACCAGACGAAGCGCGAAAGTATTATACTTCCACTCCACGCCGGTCTTCTGTGAAGTCGTGGTACTTACCCGGATGAGCCTGCCCATTCGTGCAACAGCCGAGGCTGCTGCGTGGCCCTAGCACAGGAATTAATTGGAGTTCCGTAACTCAAAAGGTAAAAGAAGGAACTTATCACTCTCTTGACTCTTGTCCGTCTGTCCGCCGTAAAAAATACAGCCCAAATGGCTTACAACACGATTTATATTTTGTGCCGACCCCACCAAGGCGGGATAAGGGCAGGAGGATTATGTTGATGATGAAGCAGTATTTAATTACTCCGTGAAAAATGGGAAACAAACCGGTCAAGTGCGAGTCGAAGTAGCACGCCGAGGCTTCCGTACGTACCCATTATACCGCCGTAATAAAATAGGTAAATAATCACCACCGATTAAATCGGGATCTTCGGGATTCTAGGTTAGCGGGAATTACCATATGGGTCTAAAATTAATATAGGTATATATGTTTATATATAATTCTTCTGTACGTGTTTATGTCACTGAAGTCCTCCTAAACGGTTGGACCGATTTTAATGAAATTATGTGTGTGTCTTCAGGTCGATTCAAGAATGGTTTAGATTCACAATTCGGTTCACTACAGTTTTTTTATTATTTATAAGTTGTTTTCGAATTTCAGTGGTGTTTATTTATTTAATTATTTACTAGCTGATCCGGCAAACGTTGTTTTGTAAAATTTCGTAAAATCCGTCTGACCCCTCCTCGGTGAAAGGAATATTACTACCAAATTTCAAGTCTCTACGCCATATGGTTCCAGAGATATCGTGATGAGTCAATTTTCGGTGGAAATATAATATATATAGATAACATGTGTTTACAGGACAACGTCTGTCGGGTCCACTAGTATATATATAAACTTTCGAATGCTCTAAAGCGTCAATGGTCACGTGCGTCTAAATCTTTATAATGATGACTACAGATGAATTGGAATAAGACCTTTTGTCCCAAATGCGGACAATTGTAACGTTCTCGCTTTGTAGTGCCGCCTTCTCGGAACGACTTGATTCCGCTTTGTGCAGCATCCGTTGGGGACGCGTAATTGACTAATGGAGGCTGGAATGTGGAAGCGTTGTCGAATTTTTAATGATATCTGCTCGTTGATGTTAATACTTCATTTGGCGCGTTTCGGAACAATTATGAGGGTAAAATTTTAAAGTTTTTTATAGTGCTAATCTCTGCACTTAAGATTGAACATTAAAACACGTAGAAAAAGTACGAAAAGATTGTCGCCGCTGTGGGAATCAAACCCACGTCTTCGGCATTCGCGGCCTGACGCTCTAGCCACTGAGCTAGACGGCTGATAGCCACAGCGACGAAAATCTTAACGCCTTCCTTCTACATTGTTATTTAGCATTTGAAGCAATGCTTGGCGCAACTATTGCTATATCCTTTCCTGCATACAAACAATTTCGAATATCGTAAATGAGGGTAAAACTTTACATTGCACAAACCGATAGCCGAAAAGCGACATGGTGAATGGAGCGACAGCTCCACGGCGTCACCATGGCAACCAATAACAACTTTTTGACATTTACAACTATCTACTGCCGTCATACGGAAAAAAGACGCATATGACATTTCTTTACAAATATGAGTTACTTATACATATATTCGGAATCAGTATAGAAAACCCAATACGTAAATACAATAACTCATTTTTGGAAAAAAAAAATGTCATATGCGTCTTTTATCCGTATGATGGCAGTATAGTTCAAATTGTTTTAAATAAACGGTTACCTGCACTTAACGTCTTTTTCACAAACAAAGAGTACAATCATATGCGATAAAATTTTAAGTTAGGTATTTTTCTTTTGTTAGCTAAACGAAGTATAACTTAGTACACACATATTTTTTTTTAGTAATAATTAATACTTTACTCTCTATAAAGATTTGTCTTTGGATGGATACACAGGGCTATTGATCTTTAGGTTTTGATGGCTATAATAATAATAATAATAATAATGTATTTATTTGCGAAATATAGGTTAGGTTAGGTTAGGTTAGGTTAGTAACCTATGGGACGGTAATTAGTTTATATCATCATAACCATCATTTCAGCCGGCTCAAGTCCTCTGCTAAACCTATGTAGGTCTATACCTCCCCCACAGACTGCCACGAAGCACGATCCTGAGCCACCTACATCCATCAACTTCCCGCACTCCATATAGTTTAGCTGTGATAGCTCAGTGTCCGGGCGCCTTTAATTCAATATACTCGAGCAACCTGAGTTCGATCCCCGGTGCCGGCACCAATGAAATGCTAATTTCAAGTGCCTAATTATCACGTGCTCAGCGGTGAAGGAAAACATCGTGAGGAAACCTGCATATTTTCGAAATAACAACCCTGTGGGAAAAATCAATTTGCCGCGCAAACAGCGCTCGTCAACTGTTTGTGTAGCAATTTCCGAACGGATGTCTTGTTTGTGAACAATGTTACCAGTACTTAGTGCGCGCCGCCGCCGCTGTCCATCGTGTTTGCTTTCCCGCGTTCTCGGGAATTTGCATCTGTTGTGTTGCCATTTAGATCAAAGTCCGCGTTTGTTTAGCTCTGTGTCCGTGCGTTCTGAGAATGTTTATGGTGTTTGCACTAATGTTAGCGGTGCCGACTACTTGTGGAAATCATTAACTTGGTTTTGTCTTTTTGTTAACAACATTATCTCCGCTTATGAATTTATCCTATAATTTTGAGATGATATGGAAAAATGTGGCAAATTACAATATGACTCTTTGATAGATATTTTAATACTGTTTGATAGATTTGGTTGGGTTATTTTTAATTAAAAACAGTTTTTTTGCAAAATCCAGTACTTTACAAATATTTTATATATACAATGCTCAAGGTGTTTTTAGCCTCATATCAAAGGTAAGCCGAACTACCGGCAACTTTTTGATTATTGAATTTAGTGCAATCTACGTGAAATCATCTCATAGTATCTTGAGGTCTTGCAGTGTCTTGGATTTTTCACAAGTTATAGGATTCTTAGCCGGTGTACCACTGGAAATGGTATGCAGGTATATTTCTTGAATTTAACATTGCGATTTTTTTTGTATTTTAATATTTACGCTAACATTACGCTATCAAGTAATATTTAGTATTAATATGTTTATGAACATAATATAGGAATAAATATGTACTTCTACTTTAATGACAGTTTCATAATAATTAAATGGTAATTGTACTTCACATTTGGTTTTGTAGTCATCTCTGTTTTATATAATAATAATTTGCACAAAGTGCCCTTGTCCTCTCACGACATCTTCAAGAATTAAAAAAATATTGTATGAATATGGCTTCCGAAACGGAGATTCTAAATAAAGATAGAGGTTAAACAAGGATGGTATACGTAACGTTACCTTATATTCACAACACCCGCAAGCTTGGGGCGGTTGTAATTGCAGTTTAGAGATTGGGTTCTGGTTATGCCCGTCTAAAAGTATAAATATCTCTACCTCAGGCTGGATTTAATTAGGGTGGTTTCACTTTACTGCACATAGTAGTCCACAACAGCCGAAGCTTACATAATAAATAATGTTAAAAGTTTTGTTTAAAATGTATTTTTTTATTAAATATAATTTTATTTAAATAAGCATTTTACCACTGTATAGTTGTAGCCGTGATAGCTAAGTGTCCGGGCGCTCGCTTTAAATTTAATATACTCGAGCAACCTGAGTTCGATACCCGGTGCCGGCACCAATGAATTTGTGAATTTTAAGTGCTGACTTATCACGTGCTCAGCGGAGGTGAGGAACATCGTGAGGAAACCTGCATATTTTCGAAATAATAACAAAAAAAAATGTTTCGAAGATATGTGAAGTTCACCAATCCGCAGTGGGGCACGTGGTGAACTATGCCCTGATACCTTCTGCTCAGAACAGTACAGTTCTGAAAACTATAAAGTTGAATCTAATATTGAAGGACCTGTAGACGGAGATATTCTCCATTTATGTCCGAGTATACATACAGAAATGAAAACTATATTTTTGTAGTATGATAGTTATGTGTATGTTAAAAAAAATCGTTCTCCAATGCAATACTGAAATTACTAGTAACTATTTTCAATGTTCTTTACACAAAACTTAAAGCATTTATGGTGGTGATAAGATTATTATAACTATATTTTAGGTAGGGGACCGATTTTTCAACCACACCAATGCCCCTGTGGAGTCAGTGTAGACAAATTTGGTCGCCACGGGCTTTCTTCACAAAAAATGTCTGGCCGCTTTTACTCTACGGGTCTCTGAACGACATCATTAGTAGGGCTCTTCTTGCTATCAATGTTCAATCTATTTTAGGGCCCTCTGGCATTTTTCGCGACGATGGTAAGAGACCCGATGATTTAACTTTGATCCCTTGGGACAGAGGCAAAGCCCTTTTTTGGGGCGCTACTTGTGTAGATTTTGTTAAAAATCGATGCATTAATTAATTAATTAAGAAATGTATTAAAATTGTAAGTTCGTTTTTAGTTATTGTAAAAAAAATAGAATTATCTGTATTATAAATATATCTTTTGGACATTTGCATTCTGTTAAAAACAGCTAAATAAGTTAGCTTGACATTTGTGACGACAACAAGATAACAAGACCAAAATATTTTCTGTACCTTTTAACTAGCAAATAAAGAAACTTCAAACACTTTGGCTGTCTCTCATCCAAAGAGTACTTCGGTAGAGCCGGGGCGGCATCGAAGGCAGCTGAAGTAAGTAAATTGCGTAATATATCAGTTTATGTTTAGATTATGTATTTGTGCCATTTGTTGTTAAAGCTTTAGGTCCGTGGGGTCGCCGCACATCCATTTTTTTTAAACTTTATGTCATAGGCTTAACACGCCGCGGCTGGTGAGTGGTTACAAGAGAGCTGCTTCTTTTCTCGCTCAAAGGTTAAGCATAACTATTCAGCGAGGTAATGCAGCTAGCGTTCTTGGCACCATGCGGCGTGGATTAAGTTTATTAAATAATACGTAATTTTGGATAGATTAAATATTAGATTTTACTAAGGAATTCTAAAAATATTTTTTAAATAAAATTCAATTAAATTATAATCCTACTGGCAACTTTTGCAAATTCTCCATTCCATTGTTGTGTGGTGGCAAACTGGCAACCCTGTTTCGCTTTTGACACGCCTTAGGAGAGATACTTTACGAATTAAATTGTTTTCGTGAAATTCTTGTGTTATTTTTGTGTTACAAAGTTATTTAAAGTGAAATAAGCGAAGGTATTCGTGTATTAACGCGTATTTTAATCTAAAAGGAAAGGAACTTTGTCGAAGGTAGGTAAAAAACTCTCAAAGTACATGTCAATGTGTAATCCTGCCAACTTAGAGCGTAATACTTTTACAGTTTAACAATATGTGATCTATGAATAATTCTATATTTTCAATTTAGTTTCGTAATAGGTAAATTTATTATTTTGTTTATTTATGTCTATCGTTCGCCAAAAGACGGTGTTTGAAAAATAATAGCCGGTTTATATTTTAACCATTGTTTTAAACATGTTTTATTTTAAAAAGCTTTTCTCACTCATACTCTCGCAGTGGATCTTAATTCAATGACTCATACTTTCACGTAGAATCGACAAATTGCTCCCCTAAGATAACAATCTTGAGGTCCCTTTGCATCAAAAATTGACAGACAGACAGAATATAAACAGACTTGCACAACTTTTCGTCAACGAGTATAATATGTGTAATCACATTTTCTTGTAAAATTATAATATTCTTTGAATTTCAAGATTCAAAATTTTAAGTTTTCTTGTAATCTTTTTATCAAGTCTGAATGATAAAGTATCCTATTTTATATTTTTTGGTATAGTATGTAAAATTATGTTGTTCTTTGTATGTAACAAACTATTTGAAATTTGACTGTATACATGTAATCTTAAAGTTGTTACATTTTGGATAGCTCAGACACAGAGGACTTGATGATTGCGTTGCTAAACTATTGGCTCTAGATTCACGGGTCATGGGTTTATTCCCACATGTGACAAGTATTTGAGTGATCCACAAATAATTGTCCCACATATGGGGTTGTTTCTCAATGAGGGTTGACAGGCAGGCAGGTTGACAGGTTTTGGCAGGCGGCCAATCATAAAAATCACAGCCAAAATCGCTTACTACATGATTCACTTGTTGTGTTGAGCCCACCTAGGCAAGCAAAGCCGACTTTAAATGTCTCACTCATTGTTTGTTTCCAATTCAATTTTTGAAAGTTCCTTTGTGTGGATTCAGTATCAATTGAATTACAATGGGTCTTACCATGAAAATATATCCTTTCAAGAAAATAAGAATTCATAACAATCAATCTGTTTATTAATGGCCGAGGTCTGGGATAACAAACATAAAAATACATTGGAATTGAGAACATCCTCCCGTTTGAATTTGGGTGAAAAATGGTATATTTCAACCGATACCTCAGCCATGTAACGGTTATCCGTTGGCAGATGACCGATACATCTGCTGGTTGCAATTGTAAATGAAAATCTGCTTGTATTGGTGAAAAATTTTATGTGTACTACTAATTACTGTAATTGTTCAGAATTGATTGTATTTGATGAAATGTAGTAGTATAGGATATGTGATGATCGAGCATAGTGGAAGTGCAAGACTGGGAAGGCAGACCGCACCGTCAGATGTAATATAGGTATAATTTTGCACAGGAGAGTGAGAGTGATAGGATATGTGATAGTAAAGTATGTATAAGTAAAATGTACCTAAAAGTAACAGCCTATACATGTCCCACTGCTGGGCAAAGGCCTCCTCTATACAGAGGGTATCAGGGCATAGTCCACCACGCGGCCCCACTGCGGATTGGCGGACTTCACATATTTTCGAAATATATATGTACCTACTTTATCTAAAATATTTGGTTATTTCATTCTTTCCACAGAGATGGCTGCATTGACCGACCCATACGGCGCCACGGGCCAGCTGACCCTGAAGTGGGACCCCAAGAACCTGGAAATACGCACAACCTCCGTGGAACGCACCCTGGAGCCGTTAGTGCTGCAAGTGACGACGCTGGTGAACAGCAAAGACAAGACTGCCAAGAAGAAGAGACGTAAATATCTTGCAATCCCTTGAATCGGAAATTAAGCTTTTACTGCTGTTTCAATTCTGGTTCAAAAGCAGTTATGGTAGTACAGACAGTAGACCCGAATCTTTTGTAGTTTACATTGGTTTTAAAGGATTTTATGTAATGATGTAGAAAAATTGTGCCAAGTGTAAATGTATGTAATATATCGTTGGTATCTAATTTAGAACCGAATTTAATTGGAGGACTGACCAAAACTTACTTTCATTTTGTTTTTATGTGAGAAGGTGGCAAGTGAACTGGGGGTTCATCTGTTCTTAAGTGATAACCGCTTCCCATTTGCAACATCCATAGGGTTGCAGATACATTTTCACCTTTTAATAAAGTGGGCACCTGTTACCTTACTGGACAACTACTCCACGGTCTTTTGTGTAGTCATAGTACTTGCCAGACAGACCTTCCCATTCTATTATTATTTCTTTTCATTTACTAACTTAGTTATTTTTTTCTGACCACTTTTGACCTTACAACATCTATTAGTGTCAGTGTTGAATTGGCGTTGTATGAATGTTTGTTTTGTGAATTGACTTGTCGATTTCGGAACAGATGGGGAGCCTGGCTCGGTTTTATTTGGCTGGTCGGTTTTACTCGTTATTTGATATTGATATAATAATTTTCTGACTGGATGGAGTATTGTAATATAATTTTAAAATTATAATTTAATTCTAGTTAGTTTTATAATTGCACCTGCTTAAAGATCTCACCACACCATAGGTTGACTGGCAGAGAATACCTAGAGGCATTAAGTCCGCCTATTGTGTTCCGTATTAAAGGAAATGCAATAAAGACTAAATAAATAAATAAATATGTGATAACATTGTAGGGCCTCTTTCATACGACCTTGTATCACTTCAGCTGGCAAGTCTAAACGCGCGAGCGCCCTAGTGGCTACCGTGGAGCGTGCGACGGAGATCTTCATCGAGCGAGGGCAGACCATCGCTTACGAGAACCCTGAGATAACCCAGGAGATGCTGGCCGCGGTGGAAGAGGTCAGGAAGGCTGGTGAGTCGGCTGCGGCATTTCTTGCGTATCGGGGTAAAAGGAACCTGTTAGAAGATTTGAGCATTCTATTTGAGTTTAGTAAATGTAACAACTGGAAGTTTGTCATTTCTAACGTAGTCATTGATTAACAACCTTATTTTAATTTCGGATGGGACATAAGGGACGGGATTGTCGCAGCCTGATGATGTATGCTCAATGTGTGACAGATGAAATGTACCTTTCTTATCTCAATGAATAAATAATTTTGATTTTTTGAATCCATAGCACATTTAGGCAAGGGACAAGGGTTGTCAACAAATGAGTCCAACTGTGTTTCGAAATTTTATAGGCTGTGGTGGGTGATGTGATCCCGGTTTACCGTTCAGGTGCCGCCATGTCTCTGGCCGCTTAGATTTTATGGGGTTGGGATGTCAGCCCTGTAGTCCTGGGCTCATAGAATAGGGCTAAGGTATCCCCCTCTGTCGTAAAAGGCGACTGACACGGAATACGGATAGGCAGCAGCACGAAGTGGTCTCGTGCCGCTGCAAGATGGAGAGGGAGTCGGGGATAGTCTTATTGTTCTGATTGTGGAGATTCCGGAGTCCCTCCAAACGTACAGAAGTGGCCAAAGGGGCCACCGAGGGGGTTTTGGTGGGCAAGAGCCCCACATAACCCTAAAGGCTCCACATAAAAAGAGGTGGGGGGGGGGGGGTTGGGGGGAACGCTCGTGGTGGGTGACGTCATCGCGGTGTATCGTCCAGGTGCCGCCATGTCGCTGGCGGCGCGCGAGTTCTCCGAGGAGCCGTGCGCTTCTGCGGTGCGAGGCGCGATGGTGAGGGCGGCCAGGGCTCTGCTCTCGGCCGTCACGCGGCTGCTGATCCTCGCCGACATGGTGGACGTGCACCTGCTGTTGGCGAAGCTGCGCGCGGTGAGTGGACCCTATAACTCCTCGACGTTGGGAACACACAAGCCTCATCATCATCATCATTTCAGCCTGTTCGAGTCCACTGCTGAACATAGACCTCCCCCGTAGACTGCCACGAAGTACGATCCTGAGCCACCTGCATCCATCGACTTCCCGCACATTTGCACAGGTCGTCACTCCATCTAGTGGGGGTTGTCTCACTGGATAGAGGTTCTGATTGTCTATGTACCCTATATTGGGACCCGCTTGGTAATAATCACTCATGTACACCTTCTTGGCACTTGATGTTTATCCTCTTCCTGATTATATTTATCTACTTAATTAGGTACTCAAATATGATAATATACAGTTAAATTTATTTGTTCTCAGCAATAAAGTCAATGCTTATTTAATTATCAATAACAGATATATACACATTAGTAAAGAATTAAATACATTTATATATCTCAAAGGAACAAAAACAAAGTGAACGCTAACACTAAAGTAAAATTATCAGTAAATAAAACTAAATCTTAGTCAAGACAACTATATGTTAACGGATTAGTAAATTAAAATTCTATAATCAACATGCTAATATAGAAAAGAATTTCTTTTCGAAAGCACACACTAACACAAAAAGAATATTTCTCTCGTGTAGCCGCCAGTCGGTCAGTCCGTAACCGCACGCCACGTCGGCAGGTGGAGACGGACCTGGACAAGCTGAAGTCGGCCTCGTCGCAGTCGGAGCTGGTGGAGTCGGCGCGCCAGCTGGGGCGGTCGGCGAGCGAGCTGGCCGCGCAGGCCGCCAAGCGCCAGAGGGAGCTCAAGGAGCCGCGCGTCAAGGACGAGCTGGCGGCGGCCAGGGCGGTGCTCAAGAAGCACTCCACCATGCTGCTCACGGCCTCCAAGGTGGGCTGGCCTTTAAACGCTCCTCGAAGAGCTGGGCTTTAAATGGTCCTCGAAAAGTTGGGCTTTAAACGGTCCTCGTAAAGCTGGGCTTTAAACGGTCCTCGAAAAGTTGGGCTTTAAACGGTCCTCGTAAAGCTGGGCTTTAAACGTACTAGCATGTTGACCTAATAATCAACCGTATAACGAAAAACAATGCCGACTTCAAATACCTCGCTGTGTTGAAAATTGATTTTCATGAGTTCCCTACGTATCTCCGGAGCCCAAAATTCAATACCAATGAAATCAATCGGGGACCACATGGGAAGCGCCAGCTTTCAAATAAAAAAATAAATAAATCTGTTCACCCAGTCAAAAGTTCTGAGGTTGCAGACATAAAAGAAAAATACAGTCGAACCGAGAACCCCCTTTTTTGAAGTCGGACGAAAATACGGTCCATATGGACGCGTATACGGCTCCGTGTTGCCCCGGTCAGTGTAGCGTTTGCACTGGGCGGCGGTGTTCCGCGCGGCAGGCGTGGCAGGCGTGGCGGTAGTGGCAGGCGTGGCAGTAGTGGCAGGCGTGGCACGTTGCAGGTGTACGTGCGCCACCCCGAGCTGGCGGCGGCCAAGGCCAACCGCGACTTCGTGCTGCGCGCCGTGTGCGCCGCCGTCGACACCATCTCGGCCGTGGCGCAGGGCACCGACCTGCCGCCCAAGGGTGAGCCCTCCCTCTCTCTCTCTCCCTCTCTCCCTCTCTCCCTCTCTCCCTCTCTCCCTCTTTTTTTTTTTTTTTTTTATTTGAAAAGTTGCCAAACGAGCAGACGGTTCACCTGATGGTAAGTGAATACCGCCGCCCATGGACATCTGCTACGCCCGAGGGTTACAGATGCGTTGACAACCTTTTGAAAATTGGGCTCCGGCTACATCACTCACCAGACGAAACGCGAAAGTATTTGTCATACTTCCACTTTACGCTGGTCTTCTGTGAGGTCGTGGTACTCACCCGGACGAGCCTGCCCATTCGTGCAACAGCCGAGGCTGTTGCGAGGCCCTACCACCGTTAAACCCTCTCTCCCTCTCTCGTCCACTGTTTCGTTCAATTAGTCCAATCGTTCATTTCGTCCATCAACTCTTTCGTACATTCACTCTTTCATACGTTCACCCCTTCGTTCATTCAGACTGAATACAATTTCGGTTCATTATAATGGACAATCTTTTGCCACTAACAGTTAAATCACCCTATGAGTGATGCAGAACAATCGAACAATTTCCAGAACAGCCACGCCTTGAAGAATTCAATTCGACTTCAGTAATCGCTCCTTCATTCCGATTGTTTTACTCAATAACGCTTCAACAATATTGCAAACTTTAAATAAATAGAACATGTTATTTTTAGGATGTCAAATATTCAAGCACTGAAACGCTTTGGTCCATTGCGCCATTGGGTTTCGAACTTTGATGTTGTGAAACCAGCAACAATAGACCCCTGAATGTAATCCTTTCAGGCAACAACCGCCCTCCGATCGAGGGTCCCGGCGAACTGGCTCAGGCGCTCGACGACTTCGACGTGAGTAAAAATGGGCATTTCTACTGGTTCCCGTACTCTTAAGGGTAAAACGGGACCCTATTACTGAGACTTCGCTGTTCGTCTGTCTGTCCGTCAGTCACTAGACTGCATCATGAACCGTGACGAATCCAAAACAAAACCACTATCTATATATCTTTCCGTGTGGGGTTCGAACCCACAACATAGAACGCATTGACAGTTGATCGTTTGACTATTTAAAACCTTGCCCAATGTACTGTTCAGTTGACATGAAAGTATCTGGAGGACCGACTTTTTTCGGTAAATCGTGTATTTTGGAAAAAAAAAATAAATTATAAAGAAAGAAATGATCTGGTATAGAAAAAAAAAAGTAAAAAAAATAAGTGTGAACATGATCGTGATAACGATGAAGAAAACGTGAAGACGAAGGTGAGTACGAACCGCGGCCGTCTGTTTTGGAGCCGGCCGATTACCGACCGAGCTATTATAAAATTTTTTTCGGCGAAATTTACCGTCATATTCGAATGATATTTTTCATTCCCTGCAAAACAGGGATAAAAGGACACTTTCTAAAAATGAAACCTAGCTAGATCGATTTTTCGCCCCCGAATCTACGCACATACTAAATTTCATGAAAATCGCTGGAGCCGTTTAAGAGATTCCGATTATACATACATATATACAAGAATTGCTCGTTTAAAGGGTAAGATGTAAAATTCGACGATACATAAGAACCGTGATAGCTCAGTGTCCGGGCGCTCGCCTTTAATTCAATATACTCGAGCAACCCGAGTTCGATCCCCGGTGCCGGTATCGATGAAGTTTTTAACTTTAAGTGCTGAATTATCACGTGCTCCGCGGTGAAGGAAAACATCGTGAGGAAACCTTCATATTTTCGAAATAATAATAAAAAATACTTTTCGAATGTATGTGAAGTCTGCCAATCCGCAGTGGGGCCGCGTGGTGGACTATGCCCCGATACCCTCTGTACAGAGGAGGCCTTTGCCCAGCAGTGGGACATGTATAGGCTGTTACTTTAGTTACTTTACTATTTATTCAAACTCTCGCCCCCAATATACCGTTCAGTTGACGTGAAAACACTCGATATTACATGTGGTCTATCGGTCTACTGCAGGAGCGCATGGTGATGGAGCCGCTCGCCTACTCGGAGCTGCGCACTCGACCCTCGCTGGAGGAGCGGCTGGAGTCCATCATCTCCGGGGCGGCGCTCATGGCGGACAGCTCCTGCACCAGGTGGGGCTCCCCGCTCGGCTGGTCTCAGCTGCGATGGGGCCAGGGCCTTTATGTGTTGTGTGAGTGAGGTAGTCGGGGCTCACTATGTTGAAAGGTGGTACATCTGCAACCCTACGGGTGTAGCGAATGTCAATGGGCGGCGGTTATTACTCAACATCAGGTGAACCGCCACCTCATTTGCCACTTTCTAACATAAAAAAAAAACGGTGGTATACCAAGAGCCTGTCTGAATGAATACTTTTGTCTACCACACAAAAGGATGGTATCTGCAACCCCATGTGTCGCAAACATCGATGGGCAGCCATGGGCGGCGGCTATAACTTAACATCAGGTGAATTAATAGCACGCTTGCCTCCTTCTCACATAGAAAAAAAGGGTTTGTCAGTTATTTTCAATGTTGATAGACCTTAATTTGAATTTTTGCATAAAGGCATGATAAAGAATCTCTGCTTACATTGTTTTAATTAGAAAACGCCTATGATCTGATGAAGAAAATTGTTCTCTCCATTAAATTAAAAACAATGTTTTATTCTTCCGCTGCAGACAGTTATTCCACTATTTGTTTTTTTTTTTTTGCAATCTAAGCCAATTCAATTATGGGTGCCCTATTGGTCTATTGAGTTAAACACTAATAGACATTCAATTATATTGTTTCAATTATCATACGTACACACTCATTGTTTCAGTTATCATATGTATTTTACTGGTTCCCACGCCATGTTCAGACGCAGTGAGTTAGGGAGACTAAAAATTTCTGTTCCACTCTCCCTGAACGGAGTGGTGGAATAGAACAGAGAATGATCTTTGTTATCGATGTTTCTGTTTCAACCTACTCGTGTCTAATTGAATTTCCCCTCTGTGCAGGGACGAGCGTCGCGAGCGGATAGTGGCCGAGTGCAACGCGGTGCGGCAGGCGTTGCAGGAGTTGCTGCACGAGTACATGACCAACGTGGGTGGCGTCACCACAATATGTGCCACAGTCGCCACCACAACATCTACCACAATCGCCATCACATCTACCACTTTCAATTGCCACCATAATATCTATCACAATCGCAATTACATATATCACAAACAACAATATCTACCACATATGCCACAATCGTCCGATAATATCTGCCACAATCATCACCACAATATCTACCAATATTGCCACAATGAACACCACAATATCTACTGCAACTGTCACAACGATTTCTGTCTCAATTTTCACAATGGTCACAATCACTACAGCAATATCTACCACAATTGCCACAATAGCTACCACAATATCTACCGCAATGTTCTACACAATCGCCAACATAGTTGTTTCTGACAATAAAGACACTAGATGCGAACACTAGATGGAGACACAATGGGAGATAAAATTTATTACCATTGGAATCCATCAGGCAATCCATAGCAGCAATAACCTCCTTTTAAAAGAATGCTTGCGGGCACATTTACTCAACATTGCCTAGTCCTAAAATTTGGACATACGACAATCGATAAACATGTTTCAACATAATTTTTCTTTGGACGAAACCATTCACCTATCGTGGGCACCGCCTGTTACGCCTATTGCTGAACCTCTCTAAAACTTGCACTAAATAATCAGCAAGTTTTAGAGATGTTAGATTAACATTCCAACGATTATTATACACCAATCGAATTTTACCCGAATCTTCAGCAAATAGACCGCTTTTTTTTCTCCGCACGATCTGTCTCATTCATATGCCAATGAAACAAACCTACGAGTCGTTTCGAATTTTATATATCTATAATCGAATGTTCAACGCGTAGATTACCGTGTCGTATGTTCTACATCATCTGTCGCATTGGCTGTGCTTATTTCTATATATTCCTTGACGACCCGAATGGCGTAGTGGGTAGTGAACCTGCCCTCTGCGCCAGAGGGTGTGGGTTCGATCCCCACTACTGGAAAAATATTGTGTGATGAGCATAGTGTTTTTCTAGTGACTGGGTGTTTATATATGTATAATGTGTATTTATTTACAAAAGAAAACGTATGTTTGAGTGTGTCTATCGGTTTTCTAGTGCCCATAGTACGAGCGTTGCTCAGTTTGGGACTAGGGAACGCTGCGTAAAAAGAATGTGTGCTAAGAATATTTATTTGTAGAGTGCTATCTCTCTCTGTATCGTCTGTCTGTTTGACCGCGCTGCTGCTGCGGTCGGCAGGCCGGCAAGGCGGAGCAGTCGGAGGGGCTGGAGCGCGCCATCGAGCACATGTGCCGCAAGACGCGCGACCTGAGGAGGCAGCTGCGCAAGGCCGTCGTCGACCACGTCTCCGACAGGTGCCACGCCTGCCACGCCTGCCACGCCTGCCACGCCTGCCACGCCTGCCTGATAGGGGATTAGGAGTGATTAAACTGTGGTAGGGCCACGCAGCAGCCTCGGCTGTTGCACGAATGGGCAGGCCCGTCCGGGTGAGTACCACGACCTCACACAAGACCGGCGTGAAGTGGAAGTATAATTCTTTCGCGTTTCGTCTGGTGAGTGAGGTGGCCGGAGCCCAATTTCCAAAAGGCTGGCAGCGCATCTGCAACCCTCGGGTATAGCAGGTGCCTATGGGTGGTCACTTAACATCAGGTGAAGAAGAAATACGTTAACCCCGGATCTGTTCCAGCTTCCTGGAGACGAACGTGCCGCTGCTGGTGCTGATGGAGGCGGCGCGAAACGGCAACGAGAAGGAGGTGGAGGAGTACGCCGTGGTCTTCACAGAACACGCCAACAAGCTGGTCGAGGTGGGTGCCGGAGACCGTCCTCCACTTTTGCCACAAAAACCGTTGCCTACCACAGTTGAAGACTGCAAAATGCAAAAACTACTTTCAGGTCGCCAACCTGGTCTGCTCGATGTCCAACAACGAGGATGGTGTGAAGATGGTGCGCCACGCTGCCGCCCAGATCGAGGCTCTCTGCCCCCAGGTGGGTGCCGGGAACAGGTCGGGGCTGGGGCGAGCTGTGAGGGGGGAAAACTTCGCACCTCTAGAATTAAAGGGACCTATTGAAATTTGTAGAAAGAGTACGAAAGGATTGTCGCCGCTGTGGGAATCGAACCCACGTCTTCGCCAACGCAAACGGCCGATTGCCACATCGACGAAAATCTTAACGTCTTATATCTACAATGTTTTTTAGTATTTCAAGCAATGCTTGGCGCATTAATTTGTTATATCCTTTCCAGTATACAAAAATCGTATAATCTTAAATGCAGAGATTGGCACTTTTATATTTTTTATGCGAAAAGTTACCAAACGAGCAGACGGGTCACCTGATGTTAAGTGAATACCGCCGCCCATGTACATCTGCTACACCCGAGAGTTACAGATGCGTTGATAACCTTTTTGGAAATTGGGCTCCGGCTACCTCACTCACCAGACGAAACGCGAGAGTATTTGTCATACTTCCACTTTCCGCTGGTCTTCTGTAAGGTCGTGGTACTTACCCGGACGGGCCTGCCCATTCGTGGAACAGCCGAGGCTGCTGCGTGGCCTTACCACCGTTAAAATTAGCTAATTAGAAAATCATGATTTTGACTTTCATGTCAGGAAACTATCTAAATCGACTGGTAATGGAAGGTGGTTCGACCAAGTTCGATGCAAGTTGGCAGAGACAAAGCGAACGTAGAGATATTTGCATAGTCATCAGTTGTCTGGTTATTTGGGTGCTGGGGACATTCAGGAGTGTGGCAAGTTGTGACGGGGGAAGGTACTTGATGGAAATGCCACGAGGTTCGACGAAGTTCGATATGGACTTGCCGAGACAGAGCGTACATATGATATTTAGGTTGTCACCAATCTTTTTTAGCACCGTATACGATAATACGTTAAACGATGTTTACATTTGGAATGCTGGGTTAGATTTTTTTTAACATGATGGTAAGCGAGAAGCTGATGTTAAGCGGTAACCGTTACTCAGGGACATTTGCAACACCCGTATGGTTGTAGATGTGTTTAGCCACCTTTTAATATTGTGGGCTTTGGCTACCTTACTCTTTTGTCATACTAACGTGTATAAAAGGCAGTGCGAGGCAGTGGAGGATCGGCTATTGGATAGCGTCTCAATATATTGTGTGAACAGACGCTTATAAGATAGTCGCATGCCCTTGCTATCCAATTGTTTTTTTTTTGTTGAATTTATAGTGTGAACAGTAACGGTGCGAGTTAAGCTCCTTGTGGGACACCATATGTCTTTGGTTCGGTTCGCGTTGCTCTCCAGCTCATTGAAAACGAACAAGGTTGATAGTTATATAAGGAACGGTGGCGGAGCGAGTGGAGCTCCTTGCGGGACACCGCGCGTCCATTGAACGGGGAGAACCGTGGCGGGGGCGTAACCGTAGTGCGGCGTGTGGCAGGTGATAAACGCGGCGCTGGTGCTGGCCGCGCGCTGCCGGTCGCGCGTGGCGCAGGAGAACGGCGCCGCCTTCGCCGCCGCATGGGACCGGGCCGTGCGGCTGCTCACGCTCGCCGTCGACGACGTCACCACCATCGACGACTTCCTCGCCGTCAGCGGTGCGCCACCACCCGCTGTCTATTTTAGGACCCACCCCTACCGCCACCACACTACAGCAACACCGCCACCCGCTCTAGGACACATACAACACACCAACACCACCCGCTGTCTATTTTAGGACCCACCCCTACCGCCACCACAGTATCAGCAACACCACCACCCACTTTAGGTCACATTTTCACGCAACGTTCCCCAGTCCCAAACTAAGCCTTATAGTGGATACTAGATAGCTAATAAACATAGTTAAACGTACTTTTCTTTTGTAGATAAATACATATTATACATGTATAAACACCCGGACACCGGAATGTTCATCACACCATAGCCAAACGATTCACCTGATGTTAAGTGAATACCGCCGCCCATGGACATCTGCTACACCCGAGGGTTGCAGATGCGTTGACAACCTTATGAAAATTGGTCTCCGGCCACCTCACTCACCAGACGAAACGCGAAAGTATTATACTTCCGCTTTGCGTCGGTTTTCTGCGATTACAGCACAATATGATTTTTTTTTTCATTCTGATCATTATTAAGATCATTCTGATGAATTCTTTTGGCAACTCAAATGACATTTGAAAAGCCGTTTGACAGCTGATTAGTTGACCCCTACGATGATCAGTGTTTCAGAAACCGCGCGTTAGAGTTGACATATAATGCTGTTAGATTTGTAACCGATTTCAAAAGGCGGAGGTTCTCAATTCTACTCAATTTTTTTTATGTTTGTTACCTCAAAACTTTTGACGGAGTGAATCGATTTTGATGATTTATGTTTTTTAAAACCGGCGCCTACCACGTGGTCCCATATTAATTTAATTGGTATCGGATCCCGGGTTCCAGAGATCCGTAGGGGACACCTGAAAATCAATTAAAAAATCAATACAGAGCGAGTTGTTTGAAGTCGGTTTTGATTTTCATCAAAAAAGTGCTTTAATGATAAGGTAAAACTTGTAAAGACAGTTTTCATAAAGCCAGATATGCAATAACAGTAATAAGTGATAGTGGCGTAATACGCTTGTCCGTCAAAAATATATATGGACCTATATTAATTTTGGGCAGCGTGCTTACATATTAAACAATTACTTTCCTGTATATTATCTCTCGCATTATGTTTACAACACATAAGCCGTTACGCACAGATACGCAGTCCATATATTCTCAATTCTTCAAGATTTCATCAAAAGAGTTGTACCCCGCAGAGAACCACATCCTGGAGGACGTGAACAAGTGCGTGGTGGCGCTGCAGGAGGGCGACCCCGACTCGCTGGAGAGGACCGCCGGCGCCATCAGGGGCCGCGCCGCCAGGTGACTTGTACACGCTGTACACTTTACACAGTTCACGCATCGTACACCCCGCACGGAGTGTACGCGTCGCTGTTTCAATTCATCTCATCTAGACAGTACGTGTCTGGTGTGTTACACATATCATGTACGGCGACCAATTCATACATTATTAGATTTGACGTATATATTCATATACATATACATTCCACACGGAGTGTACACACCATTTCATAATTGACTTCATACAGACGATATGTGTCAGGTACGAAAACATCGTATACGCTATTTATTTCATAAAAGTGAATTGATTTGTACACTTTACACATTTCACGCATCGTACACCCCACACGGAGTGTACACGTTATTGTTTCAATTTATCTCATCTAGACAATGTCATATCTGGTACGTTACACATATCATGTACTTCAAATAATTAGTACACTTTACAAATTTTACACGTCATACATTCCACATAGAGTGTACACGTCATTTCATCTTTGACTTCATCCAGGCGATACATGTCTGGCACGAACACATATCGTATAAGCCATTCATTTTATAGAAGTGAATCAATTCGTACACTTTACACATTTTACACATCATACACTCCACACACAGTGTACAGATCATTGTTTTAATTAATTTCATACTGTTTAATTGTTCCATATTGGCAGATACGTGTCTGCCACGTTACACACATCTTACGTGTCAGTCACTTCATATTACTCCAATTAATTTGTACACCTTGTATATGCCGTACACGATATCCACTTTGGTAGGGCTCCTGTGGTAGAGTCTCCTCTGTTGCACGAATGGGCAGATCTGTCAGGGAAGTACCGCGACCACCACCACCACCATTTACACGTAGAAGTCTTATACTTTTGTTGCAAATGTCGATTGGTTGAGGTAATCACTTAACATCAGGTGAATCAGGGTCACACAAATACTTTTTTCTTGTGGGAATCGAACCCACGACCCCCGACGCCGAAGCCACTCGATAGGCTCGTTTTGAAAAAATTAAAGGAAACTGAAAGAAGAAATCGGCGTCACTTCCTCTAAGCCTCTGTCAACCCTGTTTGGTCTTAGCCTAGATAAGTTCTTGAGAATCATCACTTGAGCCTCGATAGTTCTTGATAGTCCTCGATAGTTTCTAACTGTTAAAAAAAATACTCCTAAAGCATTTCCCCTAAATTTCACTAAATCTTTCTGATTCCCCTAAAATGTTTCTCATTTAGAAAGTGTTGGTTTAGATTCTGTTGACGCTTTAAGCGCCTTACAAAATTATAGCATACCCAGTTGCGGTTCTTATGTATTTGCTATTATGCACAACTACCGTCAATTTTATTTTTTGTTAGTTAGCTTTTGGTCATTACACGGTTATAATATCTGAGAACAAGAACTTTTAATTTTCTCCCTAATTCTAAAGTGTTCAAATTCACCTCCAAAATAAACTCCAATTGTAATAGTTCTCTTCCTAAATTTGATAAGAGAACTCGTAAGTTGTCGAAAAGTTGCCAAGTGAGCGGGCGGTTCGCCCGACGTTAAGTGAATACCGCCGCCCATAGACATCTGCCACACCCGAAGGTTGCAGATGCGTTGCCAACCTTTTGGAAATTGCGCTCCTGCCACCTCACTCACCAGACGAAACGCGAAAGTATTACACTTCCACTTGACGCCGGTCTTCTGTGAGTTCGCGGTACTTACCCGGACGAGCCTGCCCATTCGTGCAACGGCCGAGGCTGCTGCGCGGCCCTGCCACATTAAAATCCGCCGTCCTTGATAGATCCCCTCCATCCCCAGGGTGTGCTCCGTCGTCACCCAGGAGATGGACAACTACGAGCCGTGCATCTACACCAAGCGGGTCCTGGAGGCGGTCACCGTGCTGCGAGACCAGGGTAAGTGGATTCGATTCCCCTGTTCCTCGACGTTGACTTCTATTAGAAATCGATCGACGACACAGCAACGACACAGCGAACGGGTATATTGCGCTGTACTGTGCTAAGTGACCAAGGTAAGTGGATTCGATTCCCCTTTTCTTCGACGGACACTTTGATTTGAAATCGATCGGCGTACGACAACGACACGAGAACGGGATTCGCGCTGTGACGGTTCCGTATCAAATGCTTTCACAGTGACGCTACGATTTCAGGGCTCCCTACGCGTGCTCGTGACGTGAAAGGTTTTTTTTTTTATTTTTGCAGCAATTTCATATTCTCTCACCCCTTCAAATATACTCATTGCAGAGAAAAATCTGGTTAAGGCAATTGTACCTGGCAACAGCTCGTTCGTTTCAACCAATTGATAGGAACCGTTGATTTAACCTAGCTTTAATACATAATGAGAATAGTTTTGATTGACACCAAATTCATTTGCATAATGTTATGGACATACATGAAGAATTGAAAAAAAATAAAGAGGAGTGGTGGGAGGTAAAATTTATGTCACATGTGTTTTAAATAAAATAAAAAAAAAAAAAAAAAATAAATAAATAAATAAATAAAAAGTAAAGCAACAGTTTACACATAACAAATTAATAATATAGAATATGTTCCAGTTCTGGGTAAAGGTTCAGACGTTCAACAGAAAGGCTCCGTTTCAACAGACTATCGACATATAATGTCAAACGCTGAAGATTTTATAGTTTACGCCGTTTGGCTTAGTTAATTCCCCTTTGAGAAAACTTTGAAACAAAAACCGTTCCAAGATTACGTTTTTGAATCCTCAATCGCTGTCTGAGTACTTATTGATTAAGTGATATTCGTTAAATCGCAAACAGAACTAGGGATTGCGTAAAAGCCTTCCATCTATAATGAACATCGTAGCCAATGTCACTTTAGAGGTTAAAAATTTAACCACGGACCGTAGTGTTTCTTTTCTGTCGCTTCCGAAAAGGTCAAACGAACGTTTTCTACATCACGAACTAGCAATAAGGCCAAATATAGTTGCATTAGTCAATTTAATATTGTAAATTAAAGACTTCTCAGAAAATTGGTATTTTTTCCGTATTCTCAGAGGTGTCAGAGAAGACATTGAATTAAGTTTAGATCAGGTTAGACTACTATGAGTAGAAAACTAAACAATTTAAAAATAGTATGATTTAGTCGAATTACATTTACACTAAACAAATTTTCTTGCTTCTGGATGGTGTATATTGTTTAAAAAACCGCCCAAGTACGAGTCGGACTCGCGCACGAAGTGTTCCCTACGATTATCTATAAAAACGGCAAAAAAATTACGTCTATGTTGTATGGGAGCCTCACCTAAATATTTTTTTATTCTGTTTTTAGAATTTGTCATAGCGGCAATATAATACATCATCTGTGAAACTATCAACTGTCTTACCCGACTCGAATTTTAACTGTTTTAACTATGTTTTTTAGATAAGAGTCCCGTTTTATCCTTTGGGTACGAAACCCTAATTATATTCTATTAGAGATTCAAATAATCATAAGGTGATTAAAGAGTGACATTGAGACGACACATTGAGAGAGCATCTCCAAAGCTGTAACGAATAATATATCATTTTTCCGCTGTTGCACAAATGGGTGGTGTTGCTCGTCCCGGCAAGTGCCCGGACGAGCCTACCTTCTATCGTGGTACTTACCACGATAGAAAGCCAGCGTAGATAAAATCAAATCATCTTTATTTGCAGGGATATGGTAAATAAAAAGTTTTCCAATACAGACATAAAGTACAGACAAACTTCGCCTTTGTAAAGGGGAAGTGTAATACTTTGACGTTTCACTCGAGAGTAAAGTAATCGACGATCATTAATTCAAAGATTGCATCTGATACCCCAAGGCTTGCTTTATCCATCAAAAGCATGCTTGCTATCTCATATAAAACATAGTCGGTTATCATTAGGTGCAATGATATCCCCTCTGTAGAAGTGTTTTGTGGTAAAAGCTATGCTTTTAAAAGAAAAGCAATTTATTGGATTTCAGAACAGTTTATTGTATCACCCTCTAGTTCCACCCTCTAAAATTATATCATTATTTACCACTGGATAGCAGTGAAGTGTTGATTTTTAAGATTATCTAAAATCCAACCTTTTAAACTTCATGTTTAGGTGAAAATAGTAACGTTTTTTGCATATCTGCTTCGTGACTGATCGCTGTTGACTAATCATATATTTCGTAGTCTTCTCAGTAACTAGGGTATTCGACAAACCAATTTTACCAATATATCAAATCACTCATATTTAACGCGACAATAACTCTAAAATAACTGGTATTACTAGTGGTCGCCCTGTGGTCAAAATTCGACCATAATTAATTGATTTATTAGTTTCATATATTTTTATGCATAATTTTAAAATAACATTAGCATTCTGTACTCCTTCTCCATGTACACTATAAGTGTGGGAAATTTCATACTCCACCGTCCGCGAAATTTTCTAAAATAGTGGTACAAAGTTTTTGCTTCACGTATTAATATATAGATTAGTACTAACTCGTTGGTTATAAAAAATATGTCACTTTGTTAAGGACATTTACTTTGAATGGCACTTTATCGAAGCTTTCACGTGTCATTTAAATAAATTTAATTACCTAAAACTAAGTCATCTTAACTGACGCTTATGATTTATTTGTTGCACCATAATCTTCAGTTAAACACGATAATAACATTAAAACTGCCGAAATGGTCATTAAAGTACAACCATATTAATCTTAGGTATGGATGAAATGTGCAATATTTTGGTATACGTAGAAAGAAATAAATTATATTAAGGGAATGTTTGAAAGTATTAATTTGCCGAACTTTGAACCATAGTGACAGAGAGCTTATTTGTTGCAATACAGAGCATATTTTATATTATACCTTAAGGAGAGGATAGTTTTAGTTATTACTATTAGGTATTCAATCGGATTTCTGATTCTTTTTGTCTATTTCCAAGAGAAGACTCAACTATCTGACTTTTAAAAACTCATAGTATTTAGTTCGTCTGTCTTTGTCGCTAAACTAAAACCTGCCGCCAGTCACAACTACTATTTAGTAGATAGATCTCGTTTGAGAGTTTCAATCTACAACTGATGTACAAATGTATCTTAAATATATGTACATTACTATGCATTATATTTTTACTGATATGTTAATATGAAATCACCGCATATATATGGGATCTATGGGATTACCGCAAGGTTCTGCATTGGGTCCAGATCTTTACCCATTGATACACGTTCCTGTCGGAATATTTACGTACGCGTGGCAAACTATTTTGATGATTATATGTGAATACAAAACAAAAACGAAGAAATAACTTAGTATATTAAGTATCTCCTATCACAGTATTCTTTACAGTTGATGTATAGTTACAACTTGAGTATTTTAATTCTTACAAAAATAAAAAAAAACTGGCCGCAGTGGACCGTGAACGATAGACACGGATTTCTTCATAATTCTGAATATCTTCGAAGATCTCCAGAATCGTATAGCTGATTATCGATGGCTATCGTGTGACGTCACTGCTGCGTCGGTCTCTCTGATCTTCTTAGTTCTCTGGTGGTGGAGGGTGGGCTCTGATGTACTCCAAAGACTTGAGGATGGCCTCCGGTATCGGTGGTGGGGTTGGCAGATGAGAGCCCTGGAATGAGAGTATAGATGAATGGAGATAAAAGCGTAAGAGAATAGAAGAATGAAAAGGTCGATCGGTAGATAATGCTGATGGAATCAAGTCCGCCTCTGCACATATTTTGTGTGCATAAAGTATAAACAATAAATAATCTTTTTCAGTTATCTTGTGCACACGCTGTACAAAGTTGAGCAAAGGTTGTAACATTTATTTTAACGACGAGTCATATTGATATTAATTATATTAAAAAGTTCCTCTTTCTGTCGGTGTTGAAATGTGTTGACAGCGTTTTAACGGGTCCTCAAAGTTTTCGCTGGCGTCTCTCATCCATACATCTCTCGCATGCATTTTGCATAAACATATTCTGTGAATTGAACCCCCTTCTCGAAACGAAAGGAGCCCTGACATCCAAATTTGCTGACAGACATTACAATAACCTTAGGAAATGTTTGTTCTCTCAAACAATTCCCAAGAAAAGTGTTCATTGTTTGATTTATCCGTTTGTTTCTTTCTATTAACCTTTTCTTTTTTCATTGCTGTTTTTTTAAAACATTAGGATAACATTTTCCTGTGTTATAAGGATAGTTTACAAAACATAAATATCACGTCGACAAACACCCTGATGCGAAACAACTGTCTGTGGGTCACAAAAAATTTTGAATCACATAATTGAACCGTGCGGGAATCGAACCCACGGTCCCCTATGCCGAAGCCAATACCTTGGCATCTAGTCTAATCAATGCAATGAGAATCACAAAATGTCATTATTTGTATCCATAACTTCGTCCTCGGATCTTACCTGAATGAATGAATGAATGAATGAACGAATTAGTGAATTAATGAACGGATGAATGAATGTCGTGTATCTTACCTGCGCCTGGAATCCGTTCTCGTCGGCGACGTATTGCAGTTGCACTACCTCACCGTTGGGCGCGGTCCATCTCGCCTCGCCCTGAGCGATTTGGGCTGCGTTCTCCTACAAGGATGTTAAAAAGTTAATTCCTACCACCGATCCTCGTTCGCCAAATGGTATTCGCACAATTTTTTTTGTGAGAAAGTGGCAAAAGATGTGGCGGTTCACCCGATGTTAAGTGATAACCGCCGCCCCGTGGACATTGCGACACCCGTAGGGTTGCAGCCCCGGCCACCTCGCTCACCAGACGAAACGCGGAAGTGCAACACTTCTACTTTACGCCGGTGTTCTGCGAGGTCGTGGCACTTACCCGGACGGACCTGCCCATTCGTGCAACAGTGTTGCGTGGCCCCCTTAAGCTGGAATTTATTGTCAATGTACGAGAACAATTTCTCGACTTGGAACCGACCCAAACTTCTCCTCTGTAATCTAAAGTTAATGTGTGGACCTTTTCAAAGTTTGAAGAAACCGGCCAAGTGCGAGTCGGCCTCGCGCACTAAGGGTTCCGTACCATTGTCGATAAAAACGGCAATGAAATCATGTCTGTCGTATGGGAGCCACACTTGAATATTTTTTTATTCTAACTTTTAGTATTTGTATAGCGGCAACAGAAATATATATGTGATAATCTTAACTGTCTAACTATCACGGTTCATGAGATACAGCCTGGTGACAGGCGGTCAGACAGACAGCAGAACCTTAGCAAATAGGGACCTTTTTACCATTAGGGTGTGGAACCCTGTTACAATCCACTGGCAGCACTGCTTAAAGGCCCATTTACACGGTGCCAGTTTCTTGCCTGTTGTATACAATTAAATTGAAGCAATAAATGAGTTGCATGGTCTAAACAACAAATGGTCTAAACAATTATTGCGCGCAATTTATCGCATTCAATTATTGCTCTTGTATGTACAAGAAAACGGCATCGTGTAAATGGGCCTTAATATACGAGCAATAACATTTATACTTAATAAACATTGAACCATATCTGGTATGACATTATATAATAAACCATGCTTAATAATAATTTATAATTTAATAGGTCAATCTTATTAACTGTATTAGTAATTTAATAAATGCATCGATTTGTAATGTAGTTGTGATGACTCATTATATTTTTGTATATAAGCGCATAATGTTTCAGTGATAGGGTAGAACACTCTTATCCTTTGTATAGGACGTTACTCTGTTCTAATAAGTAGGAAGTAGTCTAATTAATATATAAAGTTGTTTACGCTATCCTCACTATTTTATTTTGGCCGACCAACCTACAGTCTTTAATACTTAACTAAAAATGGGGTTGAGGTAATCTATCCCCTATGGAGTGACTATCACTTACAGACTGAGGGTTGTTCAGGGCGCCGCTCTCTTGTGCCGAGATGCCGTTCTCAGTCTCGATGGCCCACTGGTACCTCCCCTCCAGTCCGATGTCCTGGTCCTGCTTCAGGATCTTGGCGTTGGCTTCCCCGCTCTTGGGCAGGATGTGGGACACGTCCGCGGCGGCGTACGCCACAAACAGCGTGATGATGAGCAGTTTCTGGGGGTCGTTTAGGTTCGATTAGATCACGCGTGATTGTGGATGTGATTCCAGGGCCGGCTCGAGGCCGGGGCCGACAATAGAGACTTCGGAAAGAAGAATTACAAAATCAGATTAGTAAACAAGTTAGTAACTGTGGTAGGACCATGCAACAGTGTTCACTGTCGTACGGATGGGCAGGTCCGGAGGGAGTCGGAAGACCGGTGTAAAGTAGTAGTGTTACACTTCTGCGATTCATCTGGTGAGTGAGGTAGGCGAGGCTCGCTTTATTTAAAATAGACAACGCATTTCAGTCTATGGGCAGCGGTTATCACTTGACTTTCTGTTCCGTTCGTTAACTCTAAAATTTAATTGTAGACAATTCTCGTTTCCGATTATATTTATATGTTCGTTAAATAATAAAAGAATCTATACTTGGTTTCACAATAAGTTGTTTATTGGAAAACTCCACTGAAAATATTTTTTCATCTTATTTGGGGCCAAGGGCCTCCACTCCTTTGTTGACCCGAGGCTTCCAGACCTCTATGTCCGGCCCGGCGTGATTCGTCATCTTCAATTGTCCTTATTAAAACATGTAGCAAAAGAACGAAAAGATTGTCGCCGCTGTGGGAATCGAACCCACGTCTTCGGCATTCGCGGCCTGGCGCTCTAGCCACTGAGCTAAACGGCTGATAGCCACAGCGACGAAAACCTTAACGCCTTCCTTCTACATTGTTATTTAGCAACAGTGTATAATAATAATAATTCAATTGTCCTTTCGAACACTTCACATAATTTGTGTTCTCCGTCCCAAATCACACCGTCGTTCGACTCTTTAGGGATTTAAAATCGATACTCATATTTAACTGTGGTAGGGCAACGTTATTTGCTGTTGCACGAATGGGCAGCTCCGACCGGGCAAGTACCACGGCTTCACAGGAGACCGGCGTGAAGTGGACGGTTACACTTCTGCGTTTCGTCCGGCGAGTGAGGTAGCCGGGGCCCGCTTTGTCACAAAGGTGGCAACGCGTCCGCAACCGTACGGGCGTTGCAAACGTCCACGGGCGGAACAGATCACTGTCCAATTACGCGGTCTTTTGTCTTCGTAAACTCGTTTACATAACGCGACGAGGTAAATGGCGAGTGTCGCCGCGGGGCGCGCCTCTCTCGGCGGACGTTTCGCAAGTACCGTTGCGAAATGCCGATGGAAGATATCATTATTTGTGTGTGGCCCATGGCACGAGCGGTAGCGGAAACGTTTTTGTTTTGTTATTTCGTTTTGTGACGAGTTCCGTCGGCTCTGGCAGCGTATAGCTTGTACGATTTTAGAGATTTCCCTTACTGCATGATAACATTGTGGCAAACGTCCTTACAACGAATATACACAAATTACACAGTAGGGTACACAAATTTCTGCGTGGACAAACCGAAACAATTACCCGTGGATCACACGAGTACCTTGTTGTCCCGTGTTAGAATCGAACCTGTTGCAATTTGTGTTAGTAAATGTTATACTCTTCATTTAAATATTGTTACGAATAAAAAATATCTGCCTCTGTACTCCTGGCAACAATGAGTTATGTCGTGTAGACACATCCTTTTTATATTGTCCATCGCATAACATGTAATTTTGAGTAAGGTTGATTTATCTGATTTAATAAACTGATTGAGCAATTATCATCTTTAAGGCCCATTTACATGATGCCAGTTTCTTGCCTGTTGTATACAATTAAATTGAAGCAATAAATAAGTTGCATGGTCTAAACAACAAATGGTCTAAACAATTATTGCGCGCAATTTATTGCATTCAATTATTGCTCTTGTATGTACAAGAAAATGGCATCGTGTAAATGGGCCTTTATTCTGATAAGTCCACCATTTCAACAGAACCTGCGACCCACGATAATTGCAAATAGCATTCCCTATTCCGCCCCAGCTCGCAACAAACACCAACATCTGGGGTCACCGGTTGCGATGCCGCGGCGACCTCTCAAATAACGACGGATTGATGCCTAACCGCTTGGTAAGCTGGTTCGGTTCTCGACTATGTTTATATATATAGTTAGCGACCCGCCCCGGCTTCCCACGGATGCATTGTATTATACATATAAACCTTCCTCTTGAATCACTCTATCTAGTAAAAAAACCGCATCAAGATCCGATGCGTAGTTTTAAAGATCTAAGCATAGATATGGATAGACAGACAGCGGGATGACTTTGTTTTATACTATTATATGTAAATGTCAATAACTTCTTATTATTGTGGACGATGTTTTAAAAAAAAACCGACCAAGTGCGAGTAGGACACGCGCACTAAGGGTTCCGTACCTAAGTTATCTACAAAAGCGGCAAAAAAATCATGTCTGTTGTACGGGAGTCCCACTTAATATTTTGTTATTCCGCTTTTTAGTATTTGTTGTTATAGCGGCAAAAGAAATATTGTAAATCTGCGAAAATTTCAACTGTCCAACTGTACAGCCTGGTGGCAGACGGACAAACAGACAGACACAGCGGAGTCTTAGTAATAGGGTCCAGTATGTTGCTTCGGCAGTTCCCTACGGGTACGGTACCCTAAAATACAACCCATTGAAAACCTTTTATGTCGTTTGAGAAAGCCCATAGAGGTGACATACCAGAGAAGACACAAAGGCGATGTAACCCACGCAGCATCCGTGACCGCGTTAAGACTTTAATCTCGGAGCGTCGAACGTCTCGAGATGAGATTATAATTGAGGGCCGCCTTGAAAGCGAATCTCAAGTTGGCGTTTGGATATTCAAACTTTATAAATACTGGGAACAAACATAGCACAACTTAAACTGCTTGGAATAGATTTAATCTTTTACGGGACGCAATGTATACGATTCTTCAAAGGACCCCGGAAAACGTTTAAAATGTATCAATTGCTGAATTAATGACGAGTAAATGTAAAGGAACGTTTGTGTGTTAGGTAAATTCTTACGTGTACACATATACTTTTTTTTTTCTTAATGTCAGACTGGGCGTTGTTCTCTCAGCCATCAAATCGTGGTATCGAGACTCTGCCACCGGTAAACAGGGTCTCAACTACTGGGTCGAAAACCTGCGTCTAGGGTTCGAAACTGAGCGATTTATAAATTTCAAGTTTAAACTCGTGACGGCTTGAACCGCGATCCATTCGGAGGCAGACCGATAACCACTGGGCCATCGAGGCTGATTATTCAATACCTTATATTCTTCCATTTCTATGTGAATTGTGTGCCATTCGCGTTGATAGGAAAATTAGAAAACGTTAGATAATAAATCGTATTACTTCATACTTTATCTGTTTGATGGATGGTTTTACTAAAAGGTTCATAGTTCGTGTGAATTTATTGTAAATGAGCTATTCGTGTCACCGTGATTTATATGAAATACGACAAGGAGGTAGACCAGGTTGATTGAAAAGTAAATAAAGTGGAAGCCTAAACATGTCCCACCGCTGGGCAAAGTCCTATGTACAGAGGGCATCCGGGCATAGTCCACCACGCGGCCCCACTGCGGATTGGCGGACTTCACATATCTTCGAAATATATATTTTTTTGTTATTATTTCGAAAATATGCAGGTTTCCTCACGATGTTTTCCTTAACCGCTGAGCGCGTGATAATTCAGCGCTTATATTGAACAATTTCATCGGTGCCGCCACCGGGGATCGAACTCGGGTCGCTCGAGTATATTGAATTAAAGGCGAGCGCCCGGACACTTGGCTATCACGGCTCGGCCCCACATAAATCACCTTAAATAATGTACACTAGCGACCCGCCCCGGCTTCGCACGGGTGCAATGTATTACACACATAAACCTTCCTCTTCAATCACTCTATCTAGTAAAAAAAACCGCATCAAGATCTGTTGCGTACTTTTAAAGATTCAAGAATACATAGGGACAGATGAACAGCGAGACGACTTCGGTTTTCACTACGTAGTGATATTGAATTTAGACACTCAACCACTCGCCTCACTATACTCACCATTTTGGGTATGATGATGCTTGCACAACGGTGAGCGTCTTCCGAACTGCGAGGTCTGAGGTCGTTCGAAGCTTATATACGGTTGTGATGCGCTCGCTAAGGTCACTGTCGATACGCCGCCGGTAGGGATGCGCGATCAGAGATGCAGTTGTAGGTATCGATATATCACGTCATCATGCATATCGATGTCGAAAATCCTTACGTACCTGAGTACGACAGCAGGCAGAAGACCTATCACGTGTATTTTTAAGTGCCTACATAAAATCTTAAAATTTTTAGAACATTATCTTTAAATACAAGTATAAAACATAATCCAGTTAAAATATTATGTAGAAAAAGTGCGAAAAGATTGTCGCCGTTGTGGGAATCGAACCCACGTCTTCGGCATTCGCGGCCTGACGCTCTAGCCACTGAGCTAAATGGCTGATTGCCACACCGACGAAATCTTAACGTATTCTTCTACATTGTTTTCTTAGCATTTGAAGCAATGCTTGGCGCCATCTATTGTTATATCCTTTCCATAATCCAGTTTTTATTCTGAAATAAAGGACCACGATAGAAATGTAACGTCGTGTCAAGATCACTTTTCAGTTTAGAGAAAGCTCGTTTGACGAAAAAATAAATACACGTGATATCTCCCTACACCCCCTCCCCCCTTGTGATATTTCCCCTCCCTTTCGAGCCTTACGTGATTAGGGACGGCCCCTAAGTCATAAGCCCCGTTCAGCGGCGCTGCCGTCGCGTCGAATTGAAACGTTATCGCCCACACTGGGATTCGAGCTTTGGATTGAGAGGACACGAACAATGAGCCATAGGGACTCTTTATTAACTAACTAGCTTATGTCCGCGACCACGTCTGCGCAGAATAGGCTGAAGACGTAACATTCAGACAGAAAGACAGATGTATAAGCTATATTATTGTAGTTTCATTAAAATCCGCAGTATTTTTAAATTCAGCAGTATTTGCGTGAAAGAGTAACAAACATCCATCCATACATACACACTTTCGCTTCTATAATATTAGTAAGGATTAGCAGATACTGTGACTTCGTCTGCGTCACCTATTATAGTTATATCCCGTTTGGCTTTTAGCGACAGAGTTCTGATATTTTGCCACGTGGTCTAAATAGGTGCTAACGCGGCCATCTTGTGAAACCGCAAGATGGTTCTTGAGTAAAATTTTTATAAAGTAGTAGCCTATATAAGTCCCAATGCTGGGTAAAGGACTCGTCTTTACAGAGCGTAATTATTTTTAGGTCACACAAACAGTTGTCTCGGAGTCAAACCCACTATCACCGGCGCCGAAGCCAACACATTGGCAACTGCGTCACGGCGTCATCTTAAGTGTTGCCTAACAGTAAATTATAATTTTTTCTAACCGTAAATCAAACACGTATACGACTGACATTTGCTATGGAATCCTGCCGCGTGCTTCAATATGCGTTGACATTTAAAAAACCTACGCTCTCGGAGTTGTTAACAGTTTTTAAAATTAAAACCCACGCTGCAGTATTTTTTCGTTGCAAAGAACTCTACTAGTCGGCTCGGTCGCGCAGTCGATAAGCCACCGGCCTCGGCGCTGG